AACCTCCTGGTCACTTGGATCTTCTCCTGGTCACCTGGGTCACTCCCTGGTCCTGGTGGCCACCTCCTGGTCACCTTGGCCACCTCCTGGTCACTTGGGTCACCTCCTGGTCACCTTGGCCACCTCCTGGTCACCTTGGTCACCTCCTGGTCACTTGGATCTTCTCCTGGTCCTGGTGGCCACCTGGGTCACCTCCTGGACTTCGTGGCCACCTTGGTCATCTCCTGGTCCTGGTGGTCACCTGGTGGTCACCTGGTGGTCACTGGAGCCCTGTCCCCCCCCCAGGGTGACGACGGTGGCCCTGGGCAAGCACCGCCTGTACGGGCGGGAGGCGGGGGAGGAGCGGCGCATGGTGGCCAGGAGGGTGGCCCACCCTGACTACGACCCCACCACCAAGGACAACGACATCATGCTCCTCAAGCTGCTGACCCCGGCTGACCTCTCGGACCGAGTCCGGCCCATCCCCGTGGCCTCCTGCCCGCCCCGGCCCGGCACGGCCTGCCTCACATCAGGGTGGGGGGCCACCACCTCCCCTGAAGGTAAGTGGGGGGTCATCTGGGGGTCATTTGGGTCATCTTGAGGTCATCTGGTGACCTTCTAGTCATCTGGGTTGGGTTATGGTCATCTGGTCACCTCGTGGTCATCTGGGTTGGGTTATGGTTATCTGGGTTGGTTCATGGTCACTTGGTCATCTGGGTTCTCACCTGGTTGCCTTGTGGTCATCTGGGTCACCTCGTGGTCATCTGGGTCACCTCATGGTCATCTGGTGACCTTCTACTCATCTGGGTCCTTTCCTGGTCATCTGGTCACCTCATGGGCATCTGGGTCACCTCATGGTCATTTGGGTTCTCATCTGGTCAGCTTATGGTCATCTGGGTCACCCTGTGGTCATCTGGGCTCTCATCTGGTCACCCTGAGGTCATCTGGGTTGGCTCATGGTCACTTGGTCATCTGGGTTCTCACCTGGTTGCCTTGTGGTCATCTGGGTCACCTCGTGGTCATCTGGTCATCTTCTACTCATCTGGGTTGGGTTATGGTCATCTGGGTCACCTGATGGGCATCTGGGTTCTCATCTGGTCACCTCATGGTCATCTGGGTTGGGTTATGGTCATTTGGGTCATCTTGTGGTCATTTGGGTCACCTTGAGGTCATTTGGGACACCTCGTGGTCATCTGGTGACCCTCTACTCATCTGGGTCCTTTCCTGGTCATCTGGTCACCTCATGGGCATCTGGGTTCTCATCTGGGTCACCTTGAGGTCATTTGGGTCACCTCGTGGTCATTTGGGTCACCTCATGGTCATCTGGGTTGGGTTATGGTCATTTGGGTCACCTCATGGTCATCTGGGTTGGCCTCACCTCGGGGTGGGGGGCCACCACCTCGCCTGAAGGTAAATGGGGGCCTGGGGGGTCATCTGGGGGTCATCTGGGTCATCTTGAGGTCATCTGGGTTCTCATCTGGTCACCTTATGGTCATCTGGGTCACCTTGAGGTCATCTGGGTCACCTCCTGGTCATCTGGGTCACCTTGAGGTCATTTGGGTCACCTTGTGGTCATTTGGGTTGGGTTATGGTCATCTGGGTCACCTTGAGGTCGTTTGGGTCACCTCCTGGTCATCTGGGTTGGGTTATGGTCATCTGGGTCATCTTGTGGTCATTTGGGTCACCTCCTGGTCATCTGGGTTGGGTTGTGGTCATCTGGTCACCTTGTGGTCATTTGGGTCACCTCCTGGTCATCTGGGTTCTCACCTGGTCACCTTGTGGTCATCTGGGTCACCTCGTGGTCACCTGAGTTGGATTTTTTTTTGGGGGGGGTGGTGACAACCCCCAAACTTCTCCTTCTCCTTCTCTCTCTCTTTCTGTGTCCCCAAATCGTCCCAAGACCGGATTTTGATATCGATTTTTGGACAAATTTGACGCCAAACCCCCCTAAATTTTTTGGGGGGATGGTCCTTAAAGGTCTTTCCTTCTTTCTGTGTCCCCAAATTGTCCTGGGATGGATTTTTTGGGATAAATTTGATACCAAACCCCCCAAATTTTTTTGGGATGATCCTTAAAGGTCTTCTCTCTCTTTCTGTGTCCCCAAATCGTCCCAGGACCGGATTTTGGTGTCGATTTTGGGATAAATTTGATACCAAACCCCCCAAATTTTTTGGGGGATGATCCTTAAAGGTCTTTCCCTCTTTCCATGTCCCCAAATTGTCCTGGGATGGATTTTTTGGGTTAAATTTGGTCCCAAACCCCCCCCAAATTTTTTTTAGGATGATCCCCAAAGTTCTCTCTCTCTTCCCATGTCCCCCAGATTGTCCCAGGATGGATTTTTTGGGATAAATTTGATACCAAACCCCCTCAAATTTTTTTTGGGATGATCCTTAAAGGTCTTTCCCTCTTTTCATGTCCCCAAATTGTCCTGGGATGGATTTTGGGATGAATTTTTGGACAAATTTGATGCCAAATCCCCTCAAATGTTTTTTTTGGATGATCCTTAAAGGTCTTTCCCTCTTCCCATGTCCCCAAATTGTCCTGGGATGGATTTTTTGGTATCGATTTTTGGACAAATTTGATGCCAAACCCCCCAAATTTTTTGGGGGGATGATCCTTAAAGGTCTTCTCTCTCTTTCCATGCCCCCAAATTGTCCTGGGATGGATTTTGGGATGAATTTTTGGACAAATTTGATGCCAAACCCCCCAAAATTTTTGGGGGATGATCTTTAAAGGTCTTTCCTTCTTTCCATGTCCCAAAATTGTCCCGGGACCGGATTTTGGTATCGATTTTTGGACAAATTTGATGCCAAACCCCCCTAAATTTTTGGGGGGGATGATCCTTAAAGTTCTTCTCTCTCTTTCTGTGTCCCCAAATTGTCCTGGGATGGATTTTGGGATGAATTTTTGGACAAATTTGACGCCAAACCCCCCAAATTTTTTTTGGGATGATCCTTAAAGGTCTTCTCTCTCTTTCTGTGTCCCCAAATCGTCCCAGGACCGGATTTTGATATCGATTTTTGGACAAATTTGATGCCAAACCCCCCTAAATTTTTTTGGGATGATCCTTAAAGGTCTTTCCCTCTTCCCATGCCCCCAAATTGTCCCAGGATGGATTTTGGGATGAATTTTTGGACAAATTTAGGACCAAATCCCCCCAAATTTTTGGGAGGGATGGTCCCAAATCCCCCCCCAAATTTTTTGGGGATGATCCTTAAAGGTCTTCTCTCTTCCCATGTCCCCAAATTGTCCCAGGATGGATTTTTTGGGATAAATTTGATACCAAACCCCCCAAATTTTTTTTGGGATGATCCTTAAAGGTCTTTCCTTCTTTCTGTGTCCCCAAATCGTCCCAGGACCGGATTTTGATATCGATTTTTGGGATAAATTTGGTCCCAAATCCCCCCCAAATTTTTTTTAGGATGATCCTTAAAGGTCTTTCCCTCTTTTCATGTCCCCAGATTGTCCTGGGATGGATTTTGGGATGAATTTTTGGACAAATTTAGGGCCAAATCCCCCAAAATTTTTGGGGGGATGGTCCCAAATCCCCCCCAAATTTTTTGGGGGGATGATCCTCAAAGTTCTCTCTCTCCTCCCATGCCCCCAAATCGTCCCAGGATGGATTTTGGGATGAATTTTTGGACAAATTTGATGCCAAACCCCCCAAATTTTTTGGGGGGATGATCCTTAAAGGTCTTTCCCTCTTTTCATGTCCCCAAATCGTCCCAGGACCAGATTTTGATATCGATTTTTGGACAAATTTGATGCCAAACCCCCCAAATTTTTGGGGGATGATCCTTAAAGGTCTTCTCTCTCTTTCTGTGTCCCCAAATTGTCCCAGGATGGATTTTTTGGGATAAATTTGGTCCCAAATCCCCCCAAATTTTTTGGGGGGATGATCCTTAAAGGTCTTTCCCTCTTTTCATGCCCCCAAATTGTCCCAGGATGGATTTTTTGGGATAAATTTGATACCAAACCCCCCAAATTTTTTGGGGGGATGATCCTTAAAGTTCTTCTCTCTCTCTTTGTCCCCAAATCCTCCCCTTGCCCCCCCAAAAAGTGACGTACCCCGAGGTGCTCCAGTGCGTCAACGTCACCCTCTTCTCGGCCGCCGAGTGCCGGAGCTTCTACCCCGGCTCCATCACCCCCAACATGATCTGCGCCGGCAACGTCGCCGGGGGGCAGGACTCCTGCCAGGTATTTGGGGGGTTTGGGGGGTTTTTGGGGGGTTCTGGGGTGGGGAGGACCCCAAAAGGACGTGGGGTGGGGTCTGGGGGTGGGGGAGGGTGGGGGGAGTGGGTGGGGAAAGAGGGAGGGGAAAGGGGGAAAGAGGGAGAAGGTCAAAGTGAGGCCTTCAAGGTTGGGGGTTGGGGGGTTTTGGGGGTTCTGGGTGGGGAGGGACCCCAAAAGGACGTGGGGTGGGGTCTGGGGTGGGGGAGGGTGGGGGAGTGGGTGGAGAGAGGGGAGGGGAAAGGGGGAGGAGGGGGAGAAGGTCGAGGCAGAGGTCACCAAGACCAAGAAGGTCCTCCAAGGGGTCACCCAAGCCAACCAGGGCTTGGTTGACCCAAAGAGGGTCCACCAAGGGCTTGGTCAACCCAAGAGAGGCTGGAGAACCTTCTTGGCCTTGGTGACCTCTTTGGCTTGGCCAACCTCTTGGAGAACCCTCTTTGGGTCAACCAAGCCCTGGTTGGGTTGGCCAAGCCCTTGGTGAACTCTTTGGGTCAACCAAGCCCTGGTTGGGTTGACCAAGCCCTGGTTGGGTTGACCAAGCCCTGGTTGGGTTGACCAAGCCCTTGGTGGATCTACTTGGGTTGGGTGACCTCAAGAGGTCAACCAAGCCCTTGTTGGGTTGACCAAGCCCTTGTTGGGTTGACCAAGCCCTGGTTGGGTTGACCAAGCCCTGGTTGGGTTGGGTGACCCCTTGGTGGACCCTCTATGGGTCAACCAAGCCCTGGTTGGGTTGACCAAGCCCTTGGTGGATCTACTTGGGTTGGGTGACCTCTTTGGGTCAACCAAGCCCTGGTTGGGTTGACCAAGCCCTTGGTGGATCTACTTGGGTTGGGTGACCTCTTTGGGTCAACCAAGCCCTGGTTGGGTTGAGTGACCTCTTGGAGGACCTTCTTGGCTTTGGTGACCTCTTTGGCTTGGTCAAGCCCTTGTTGGGTTGACCAAGCCATGGTTGGGTTGACCAAACTCTTGGTGGACCCTCTTTGGGTCAACCAAGCCCTGGTTGGGTTGGGTGACCCCTTGGAGAACCTTCTTGGCCTTGGTGAACTCTTTGGGTCAACCAAGCCCTGGTTGGGTTGGGTGACCCCTTGGAGAACCTTCTTGGCCTTGGTGAACTCTTTGGGTCAACCAAGCCCTGGTTGGGTTGGTCAAGCTCTTGGAGGACCCTCTTTGGGTCAACCAAGCCCTGGTTGGGTTGGGTGACCCCTTGGAGGACCCTCTTTGGGTCAACCAAGCCCTGGTTGGGTTGGGTGACCCCTTGGAGGACCCTCTTTGGGTCAACCAAGCCCTGGTTGGGTTGACCAAGCCCTGGTTGGGTTGGGTGACCCCTTGGAGGACCTTCTTGGCCTTGGTGACCTCTTTGGGTCAACCAAGCTCTTGGAGGACCCTCTTTGGGTCAACCAAGCCCTGGTTGGGTTGACCAAGCCCTTGGTGGATCTACTTGGGTTGGGTGACCTCAAGAGGTCAACCAAGCCCTTGTTGGGTTGACCAAGCCCTGGTTGGGTTGACCAAGCCCTGGTTGGGTTGGGTGACCCCTTGGTAGACCCTCTATGGGTCAACCAAGCCCTGGTTGGGTTGACCAAGCCCTTGGTGGATCTACTTGGGTTGGGTGACCTCTTTGGGTCAACCAAGCCCTGGTTGGGTTGAGTGACCTCTTGGAGGACCTTCTTGGCTTTGGTGACCTCTTTGGCTTGGTCAAAGCCCTTGTTGGGTTGACCAAGCCCTGGTTGGAGTTGACCAAACTCTTGAGTGGACCCTCTTTGGGTCAACCAAGCCCTAGATAGGTTGGGGTGACCCCTTGGAGAACCTTCTTGGCCTTGGTGAACTCTTTGGGTCAACCAAGCCCTGGTTGGGTTGGTCAAGCTCTTGGAGGACCCTCTTTGGGTCAACCAAGCCCTGGTTGGGTTGACCAAGCCCTGGTTGGGTTGGGTGACCCCTTGGTGGACCTTCTTGGCCTTGGTGACCTCTTTGGCTTGGTCAAGCCCTTGTTGGGTTGACCAAGCCCTGGTTGGGTTGACCAAGCCCTTGTTGGGTTGACCAAGCCCTGGTTGGGTTGGCCAAGCTCTTGGTGGACCCTCTTTGGGTCAACCAAGCCCTGGTTGGGTTGACCAAGCCCTGGTTGGGTTGGCCAACCAGAGCTTCGTCGACCTCTCAAGCTCCTCCAACCCAAAAAACTCCACCAAGAGCAGATTTTTGGGGGGTTTCACCTCCACCTTTGACCTCCTGAGGTCACCCCTGTCCTTTTTGTGCCCCTCCCCCACCCTAGGGCGACTCAGGGGGCCCCTGGGGGGGGTCCTTGAAGCCAACAAGGGTTGGAGAACCTCATGGTGGGGTCTTCAAGTCAAGACGGGTTGGAGAAGCCAAGAGGGGTTGGAGAACCTCATGGAGATCCACCAAGAGCTTGGCCAACCCAACCAGGACTTGGTTGACCCAAGGAGGTCACCAAGGCCAAGAAGGTCCTCCAAGGGGTCACCCAACCCAACCAGGGCTTGGTTGACCTCTCAAAGTCACCCAACCCAAGTAGGACCACCAAGAGGTCAACCCAAGTAGATCCAACCAACCCAACCAGGGCTTGCTTGACCCAAAGAGGTCCCTTGACCCAAAGAGGACCCTTGTTGGGTCAACCACACCCTAATTGGGTTGGTCAAGCTCTTGGTGGATCTCCATGAGGTTCTCCAGCCCTTCTTGGCTTGGCCAAGCTCTTGGAGGACCCTCTTTGGGTCAACCAAGCCCTGGTTGGGTTGGGTGACCCCTTGGAGGACCTTCTTGGCCTTAGTGACATCTTTGGGTCAACCAAACCCTGGTTGGGTTGGGTGACCCCTTGGAGGACCTTCTTGGTCTTGGTGACCTCTTTGGGTCAACCAAGCCCTGGTTGGGTTGACCAAGCCCTAGTTGGGTTGGCCAAGCCCTTGGAGGACCCACTTTGGGTCAACCAAGCCCTGGTTGGGTTGACCAAGCCCTGGTTGGGTTGGGTGACCCCTTGGAGGACCTTTTTGGCCTTGGTGACCTCTTTGGGTCAACTAAGCTCTTGGAGGACCCTCTTTGAGTCAACCAAGCCCTGGTTGGGTTGACCAAGCCCTTGGAGGACCTTCTTGGCCTTGGTGACCTCTTTGGGTCAACCAAGCCCTGGTTGGGTTGGCCAAGCCCTTGGAGGACCTTCTTGGTCTTGGTGACCTCTTTGGGTCAACCAAGCCCTGGTTGGGTTGACCAAGCCCTGGTTGGGTTGGCCAACCAGATCTTCGTCGACCTCTCGAGCTCCTCCAACTCAAGAAGCTCCACCAAGACGTTCCACCTTTGACCTCCTGAGGTCACCCCTGTCCTTTTTGTGCCCCTCTCCCCCACCCTAGGGCGACTCGGGGGGCCCCCTGGTGTGCGGGGGGGTCCTGCAGGGCATCGTCTCGTGGGGGATGGAGCGCTGCGGCCGCCCCCGCCGCCCCGGCGTCTACACCAAGGTCTGCAGGTACGCCCGTTGGATCCACCAGACCATGGAGGACAACTAGAAGAGAAGAGGAGGAGGAGGAGGCCACGCCCATCTCGTTGTCATCAGCCACGCCCACCCCACCCACCCAGCTGGAGGGGGGAGGGGAAAAGGAGAAAGGGAGATTAAAGGTGGTCGGTGGGGAAATCGGGAGTGTCTCGGTGGTTTTTGGGGGTTGGTTGGTGGGGGGTTGGTTGGGAGGGTTGAGGGGGGTTGATGGGGTCATTGGGGGTCATCAATGGTCAACAGGGGTCAATGGATGTCAATGGGGGCCACCAAAGGTCAATGGAGGCCACCAGGGGTCAATGGGGGCCACCAGGGGTCAATGGAGGCCACCAGGGGTCAATGGGGGCCACCAAAGGTCAATGGAGGCCACCAAGGGCCACTAGGAGTCAAGGGGGGCCATCAGAGGCCACCAAAGGTCAATGGGGGCCACCAGGGGTCAATGGGGGCCACCAAAAGTCAATGGGGGGCACCAGGGGTCAATGGAGGCCACCAAAGGTCAATGGAGGCCACCAGGGGCCACCAAAGGTCAATGGGGGCCACCAGGGGTCAATGGGGGCCACCAGGGGTCAATGGGGGTCACCAAAGGTCAATGGGGACCACCAAAGGCCAATGGGGATCACCAAAGGTCAATGGGGGTCACCAGGGGTCAATGGAGGCCACCAAAGGTCAATGGAGGCCACCAGGGGTCAATGGGGGCCACGAGGAGCCACCAGGGGCCACCAGGGGTCAATGGGGGCCACCAAAGGTCAATGGGGGCCACGAGGAGCCACCAGGGGCCACCAGGGGTCAATGGGGGCCACCAAAGGTCAATGAGGGCCACCAAAGGTCAATGGGGGCCACCAGGGGTCAATGGGAACCACCAAAGGTCAATGGGGGCCACCAGGAGTCAGTGGGGGCCACCAAAGGTCAATGGGGGCCACCAGGGGTCAATGGGGGTCACCAAAGGTCAATGGGGACCACCAAAGGCCAATGGGGGCCACCAGGGGTCAATGGAGGCCACCAGGGATCAATGGGGGCCACCAAAGGTCAATGGGGGCCACCAAAGGTCAATGGGGGCCACCAGGGGTCAATGGGGGCCACCAGGGATCAATGGGGGCCACTTGGGGTCAATGAGGGCCACCAAAGGTCAATGGAGGCCACCAAAGATCAATGAGGGCCACCAGGGGTCAATGGGGGCCACCAGGGGTCAATGGGGGCCACCAAAGGTCAATGGGGGCCACCAAAGGTCAATGGGGGCCACCAAAGGTCAATGGGGGCCACCAAAGGTCAACCACTCGTTTCCCCCCAGCAGGCGCCCCTCCCTCTGGGGGGCGTGGCCACAGCCACCATCGACCAATCAGGAGCTGGGAGGGGCCCAGGGGGGGTGGGGAGCCCTTTAATTAGGCCTGAAAGTCGTTAACGAGCTTTTAATTGGCGTCAGCTCCTTAATTGGCCTTGGGTTTAAGGAGGGGGAGGGGCTTAAGGAGGAGGGGGCTTAATTTGGGAGGAGGGGCTTAAGGAGGGGAGGGGCTTAATCAGGTAGCCCGCCCACCGACAGAGCCAATGAGGCACCTGGAGAGACCCCAAAATTCCACCCCAAATTCCACCCCCAAAAGGATCCAAATCTGCCCCAAAATCCCCCCAAAATATTCCCTAAAATCCAAAATCTCCCCTAAAACCCCAAATTCCCCCAAATTCCCCCAAAATCTTCCCAAAATCCCCCAAATCTTCCTCAAAACCCTCAAATTCTTCCCAAAATCCCCCAAATTCCCCCAAATCTCCCCCTAAACCGCCCAAATCTTCTCCTAAACCACCAAATTCCCCAAATCCCCTCAAATCCCCCAGATCTTCCCAAAATCTTCCCCAAACCCCCCAAATCTCCCCTAAACCCCCAAATCTCCTCCTAAACCCCCAAAATCCCCAAAACCCTCCCCAAACCCCTCAAATCCTCCCAAAACCCCCAAATCTCCCCAAATCCCCCAAATCTCCCCAAAACCCCCAAATCTCCCCAAAACCCCAAAATCTCCCCAAATCCCCCTAAAAATCCCCTGAGTCCCCCAAATCTTCCCTCACCCCCAAATTCCCCAAATCCCCCAAATTTCCACCAACCCCCAAAATCTCCCCACCCCCAAATCCCCCAAATCCCCCAAGCCCCCAAATCTCCTCCAAAATCCCCCAAATCCCCCAAAATCCCTCAAACCCCCAAATCTCCTAAACCCTGCAAACCTCCCAAAATCCCCCAAATCTTCCTCAACCCCCAATCCCCCAAAATCCCCCAAATCCCCAAATCTCCCCAACTCCCCCAAATCCTCCTAAACCCCCAAATGCCCCTCAACCCCTCAAACCCCCAAATCTCCCAAATCTCCCCAAAATCTCCCTAAATCCCCCAAATCCCCCAAATCCCCTAAAATCCCCCAATCTCCCAAAACCTCCCAAAACCCCCAAATCCCCCAAAACCCCCAAATAGCCCCCAAAATCCCCCAAACCCCCCAAAATCCCCAAATCTGCCAAACCCCCAAATCCCCTAAATCCCCCTAGATCCCCAACTCTCAAATCCCCCGAACCTCCCTCAAATCCCCCAAATCCCCCAAATCCCCAAATCCCCCAAAAATCTCAAAATCCCCCAAATCTCCCCCAGATCCTCAAATCCCCCAAATCTTCTAACCCCCAAATCCTCCCAAAATCCCCCAAATCCCCTCAAATCCCCCAAAATCCCCAAAATCCCCCAAATCTTCCCAAATCCCCAAAATCCCCCAAATCTCCCCAAATCCTCCAAATCCCCCAAGATCCCCCAAAACTCCCCCAAAATCCTCAAATCCTCCAAAGCCCCTGAACCCCCAAATCCCCCGAAATCCCCCAAATCCCCCAAATTCCTCAAATCTCCAAATCCCCCAAATCTCCTAAACCCCCAAATCCCCAAAATCCCCTCACCCCTCCCAAACTCCCCAAATCTCTCAAATCCTCAACCCACCCCAAAACCCCTCCCAAATCTCCCCAAATCCTCAAATCCCCCAAACCCCCAAAATCCCCAAATCTCCCCACAAAATCCCCAAAATCCCCAAATCCTCCCCGCTCAGGGTGGGGAGAGTGGGAAGGCACCACCTGCCCCAAGAATTTCCCCTTGGAGGGGAGGAGGCGTTGCCAGTCAATTAATGGTTAATAATTAACGCCCGACCCTTTGATAAGGGGACGCACCGAGAGGACCCCGAAACCCAAAACCCCCAAAAACCCCAAAATCCCCAAAATGAAGCCCCTCGGCCCCTTCTTCTTCTTCTTCTTCCTCCTCCTCGGAGCGACCCCGGTGAGGGGGAGGGACCCTGATTTTGGGGGGAGGGGATTTGGGGGATTTGGGGGATTTGGGGATTTGGAGGAATTTGAGGGGGTTTGGGGATTTGGGAGATTTGGGGAGTTTGAGGAGTTTGGGGATTTGGGGGGTTTAGAGGAGATTTAGGGGATTTTGGGGTGATTTTGGGGATTTGGGAAAGTTTGAGGGCCATATGGGAGGATTTGGGGGAGGATTGGGGGGATTTGAGGGGTTAGAGGAGATTTAGGGATTTTGGGAGGTGATTTTGGGGGATTTGGAGGAGTTTGGGGGATTTGGAGGGATTTTGGGAGATTTTGGGGGATTCTGGGGATTTTGGAGAGATTTTGGGGGTTCGGGGGATTTTGGGGGTTCAGGGAGGATTTGGATGGATTTGGGGGTGGGGTTGAGGAGATTTAGGGAGAGTTGGGGGATTTTGGGGGATTTTGAGGGGATTTTGGGGGTTGGAAGGATTTGGGGGATTTGGGGGATTTGGGGGGTTTGGGGAGGATTGGGGGAGTTTGGGGGTTTTGAGGAGGTTGGGGGATTTGAGGGATTTCGGGGGTTTGGAGGAGTCTGGGGAGTTTTGGGGGTTTAGGGGATTTGGGTGAGTTTTGAGAGGATTTGGGGGGGGGTTGGGGAGGATTTGGGGGGATTTGGAGGGACTTGGGGATATTTTTGGGAATATTTTGGGGATATTTTGGGGGTTATTTTGGGGTAATTTTAGGATATTTTTGGGGTGTTTTTGGGATATTTTGGGGGTCCTGACCCTCCTTTCCCCCCTCCCCAGTCCGGGGTTGCTCGTCGCATCGTGGGGGCTCCGAATGCCCGCAGGGGGGTTGGGGTGGGATATTTTGGGGTATTTTGGGGTATTTTGGGGATTTTTGGGAGGGTATTTTGGGGATATTTGAGGGGGATTTTTGGGGATATTTTGGGGATATTTTGGGGTATTTTGGGAGGGTATTTTGGGGTATTTTGGGAATATTTTGGGGTATTTTGGGAACATTTTTGGGAATATTTTGGGGATGTTTTGGGATATTTGGGGATATTTGAGGGGAATATTTTGGGATATTTTGGGGATTTTTGGGAATATTTTGTGGATATTTTGTGGATATTTTGGGATATTTTGGGGATATTTTTGGGAATATTTTGGGGATATTTTGGGGTATTTTGGGGCTATTTTGGGGGGCTATTTTGGGGTAATTTTAGGATATTTTTGGGGGTTATTTTAGGATATTTTTGGGGTGTTTTGGGGTAATTTTAGGATATTTTTGGGGTATTTTTCGGTGTTTTTGGGATATTTTGGGGGGTCCTGACCCCTCTTTTCCCCCTCCCCCAGTCCGGGGTGCCGTCGCATCGTGGGGGTCTCGGAATGCCCGCAGGGTGGTTTTGGGGATATTTTGGGGTATTTTGGGATATTTTGGGGTATTTTGGGATATTTTGGGGTATTTTGGGGGTCCCCGGGTGGGTTTTGGGGATATTTGGGGGGTATTTTGGGTATATTTTTGGGTATTTTAGGATATTTTGGGGTATTTGGGGGGGTATTTTGGGGGAGTCTTGTGTGGGATTTTGGGGGTATTTTGGGGTATTTGGGGGGTATTTTGGGGTATTTTGGGATATTTTGGGGGGGCATTTTGGGGATTTTTGGGGGGAATTTTGGGGGTCTTTTGGGTATAATTTTAGGATATTTTGGAGGGGTATTTTGGGGATAATTTTAGGATATTTTGGGGGTTATTTTTGGGATATTTTTGGGATATTTTGGGTATTTTGGGGTAATTTTAAGATTTTTGGGATATT